ATCCTATCCTTAACTTTTTATAAGTATAAGTAAATTTGGGCTGTAATTCGACAAACATTACTGTTGAATGCATGCTTTCCTGTTTTATTTTCCTAAGCAGGATTTTGAAAATAAAAAAATGCCATGGTAACATGTAAAAAATAAAAATAAATATTTCGACCGGGAACTGTATGATAAATAAATAAAGTTCCATCTCGGCGATCTCATGACATGCGTGCTTGATATGACATTCAGTTACAATAGTGACAGAATTTTTTTCAGAAATTTCTCTTCATGCAGAATTGGGTGCTGGGAACTGGTGACTTTGTCTCGGTACTCGGTGAAATTTATATTGATAAATGACATTATTAGCCGAATTGTGTCTTTTGAAAATTAGTAAATGATATGTTATTGGAATCATCATTTGGATAATGAGCTATAGTTCGATTCATATTCATGCCATGAGAAGAAAGCCGATAAGACGAATTATTCATGTGGTTTACAACGGCTTCTCGAAACTCTTTCCGCCTGTTCCACAATTTCCCGCTCTTTTCTCAAAACTCCCACATTTTTGCATAAATACAAACAATACATATTTTCCTATTTTTTCGCGATTTTATTACTCTTCCCGCATCATATTCCCGCCGTTCTCAATCCTTATTTTATTGTCCATTTCCTGTTTGCTCTCACTTCGAGTTCAATTTCCCCTACGTATACTGTAAAATGTACATTTGCCATTCCATAGAGCGATTTCCCGTCGTTCCCTGTTTTAGTAAAATTTCCCACATTCTGGTGTTGCCCAATTTATTTTGTTCAATATTTCGTTCATTTACATTTTTGTGGCGACAACAGGATAGTAGCCATAGATCCATTACTTTCTCAACTTTACCTAAGCCTATTTATGGAGTGCACGACGCGTGGGACTCTCGCGCGCGGAGAATTGCTGGACTCCTCGCCGCAGGTCCACGTACCGCTGGTTCATCCAGCAGCAAGTCCATGCATCTGAAACAAATAACTAGTCAACTCCTCCTGCATCTGACATGAACTGGTAACCAGGCGATAGATCGAGGCTTACCATGTAACTAAGTCGTCTCATCGGCTTTTTTACTCCCGAGATAAATATTAAAATCCTAATTGGAGTGTAAGATAACAAGGTGTTCACCGCGCGCGATACGTTTTGTCGTCTTGTCAACCATTTCTCCACGTGACCGAATTCCAACAGCGTGTGTGTGTGGTATGGTAATAAATGGCGCTTTAAACAATTTGAGTCTTTTGCGCCAGACAATTTAAATCAAAATTTTGTATATGCCTATAATACTCTCTTGGTAGATTTCACATAATCAACAAGAGCAGGGAAAATGCTAGGGTCGCGTAAGATAGCTTTGAGTTGAAATTCAATGCCATAATCGCGGCATTTCACCTTTAGTATGCGTCTTTCATTTCTATATGCACGACAGTTCATTAGAAAATGTTCTACTGTCTCTGGATCATTACAGAAATCGCAAAGTCCATTATTATGGCATCCTATTTTATGGAGGTGCCCATTTAAACGGCAATGTCCCGTCTGAAGTCGAAATAAAATTTTGTCCATTATTCGTGGTGACCAAGTGGAATTCTTGATGCTGTCTTTAATTGAGGGGAAAATTGTCTTGTAATGAAACGCTTGGTCACTTTGTATAAAATGTTGATCCCATTTATTAGCGCAGAATTGTCGAATTTGTGAGTTGACTTTGTTTTGTGATTGGGATAATCTTTTGTCCACATCGACTTTCGCCGCTGATACCTTTGCTATTTTGTCGGCGACTTCGTTACCCGGAATGCCAACATGTCCTGGAGCCCATAGTAGTGTGATTTTGCATCCTTGTTCCTGTAACTCAAAAAGACAAGTCTGAATATTTGAAGATATATTACTAATTTGATCCGAGTTATTATTTATAGCGTGTATAGCAGACATACAATCCGATATGACAAGTATATTCCTTTTATAGTTATTTTTTGACCATGTAAGGGCACTATATATTGCAAAAACTTCGCAATCAAACGAGGAACAGTCTTTGTCTAGCCTAAAACCCATACGAGAATTATTATATGGAACATAAACCGCAGCACCGCATTTGTCATCAATTTTTGACCCATCGGTATAGATATCACGTGTGATTGATAGGATTCATTTATATAATCCAAACTTATAGCTTTTGTTTGGTCGGGCGTATACCAAGGAAAAAGTATATTCGATAATGCATCGTCGATATTAATTTCGTCCAAATACCATGGGGGAATTTCTTCGGCTTTAATAATACTAATATCCAATTTGTCAATATCGAAAGTCCTTGCAATCATACCAAATGTACGAAATGCTGGAGAGTTGGGAAATATTTCATGCCATGAGTGTTCGATGACTTCGTGGCAAGGGTGGTCAACAAATGTTAGCAGTTTAGCCTTATATAAAAGGCATAATTGTAGTCGTCTTATACTCAATGGCATCTCATTACAGCAAACTTGTAAAGCAATTTTGGGCGTACTCATCATGCCACCTGCAGCGATGCGTAGACATTGAGATTGGATAATTTCGATTTTCTTATGGCATTTATTGATGCTGAAAAATAGGCTTCCATACCATATTCAATAATGGGTCGAACTAGGGATCTGTACAATGACAAAAAAGGGTGATTTGTTAGCTCCCCAGCTAGTTCCAATAAGCAAACGCAGCAGATTAATACGTTTACTACATTTTTGTACAACATATTCGATATGTCTCTTATAATTTGAGCGCCTATCGAAATAGACTCCGAGGTATCTTACTTCATTCCTGACTGGAAGTATTACACCGTTTATGTGTAGTTGTATTGGTGGTAATTTTCTCTTTCGGGTGAAGAGTACAACTACTGATTTTGTGACTGAGATCTTAAAACCCCATTGATTGCACCAGGACTGAATGCAGTCCAACGAGTTCTGAGAGGAAATGATTAAATCTTCAATATTGAGACCAATGTGCCATAGAGCGCTATCGTCTGCAAACAATCCAACATTATCTGATGAAATAGTACTAGGCATATCGTTTATCATTATATTGAATAGCAGTGGACTGATTACGCTCCCTTGAGGAATTCCGTTTTCCAATGAGAATATACTTGAAAGACGACTGCCTACTCTAACCTGAAATGAACGATTTGTCAGAAAAGATGCAACAAAAATCCAAATTTTCCCGGTGACACCAATGTTATATAGTTTGTATAACAGTCCTCTTTTCCATACCATGTCATACGCTTTTTCCATGTCTAAGAAAATGCCAAGTACAGATCTTTTATTTGGTAAAGCTTTATATATGTCATCGTGTAATTTTAGATATGCATCAGTTGTAGATCTCCTCCACCTTAAACCGCTCTGTTCTCTACATAATAAGCCATTTTTTTCAACAAACCACTTCAGTCTGCGAACTATAATTCTTTCCAATACCTTACATAAATTGCTAGTTAAAGATATAGGCCTATATGAAGATGGTTGGTCTTTTTGTTTATTGGATTTAAGAATCGGAATTACAACAGAGCGTTTCCAGGTATCTGGAATACTCCCTTTGTTCAAAAATCAAATTGAACAATTTGAGTAATATGGGTTTACATTCTGCGGGCAATTTTATAAGCATCGCGTAGCAAATCTTGTCTAGTCCTGGAGCAGTGCTTTTTCTTGGTTTTAAAACTTGATTAAGTTCTTTCATTGTGATATTTTTATCCAATTTGTGATTAGCCTTGAAGATTGTTACGTCATGTGAGGATTCGAATGCGATCTTTCTTTGAAGAAATTTCGGAGTGTAGTTTTCATTGCTACTGACCGCCGAGAACGAACTCGCCAGAAGCTCAGCTTTTTCGGAATCTTCGATTGCTGTTATACCATTGTGTCTACGGCCGGGGATTTGTTCGTATACCTTGCTTTTAGTGAAGCGCCTAACCATTTTCCATACGTTGCTGAGTTTTCATTCTTGTCCAGTGAGCTACAGTAATCATGCCAACTCTGCCTTTAGCTTTCAATATTATTCTTCCTGCTTCAGATCTACGTTTTTTATACATTATCACATTTCGATGGACATCGACCTTTTCATTTTAAGGAACGCCGCTTTTTTAGCCGTATGGCTTTGTCGCAATCAGCATTCCACCATGGGATGCCATTTTTTGTGTAGGATTTTGTTCGTGGTATTGATTCATTTGCTGCTAAGATAATCGCATTTGTAAGAAAATCATTGAATTCATTTATATCGCTTGTGACTATATTCTCACTGATGCGCGTTTTACATAATTCCGAGAACTTATCCCAATTTGCTTTATCGAGTCGCCATGATTCCATGTAATTACTTGGGTCACCGACTTGTGTTACGTTAAAATAAGTTTTAACCATTACGTGATCACTTCCCAGTAACTCGTTGGTCACAATTGTATTACATCTTTGTGCGACATCAGGAGAGGCTATTGTTAAATCCAATAACGACCAATTATTTACTCTGTTATGGGATAAATTTATCCTAGTGGGAACAGAGGTGTTAAGTACTACTAAATCTGTGCTGTCAATAGCTCCAGCAAGAGCTAGTCCTCGTTGATTGTTTGTTGGGCTACCCCACAAGAAATGATGTGAATTAAAATTCCCACAAAAGACTGTTTGTCGTGAAAATTGATCAAAAAATCGTTCGAAGGCATATTGAGAAATTCTAACATCAGGTGGGACGTATACATTGACTATCTTAAGATTTCCCAAACTGACACTTTGAGCTTCTGCGCCATTTAGAGGTTGTAAAGGTATTTCAACAAAAGATATATTATTTTTTATAACAAATAAGATGCCACCACCTTTACTAATCAATCTATCTTTGCGTACTAGGGTATACCCTGGTATGCTAGGATTATACTTTGGTGTGAGATTGCTTTCTTGAATGGCTATTACGTCAGGTTTCTGGTGTGAAGCACTAATAAAGTTTTTCAATTCACCTAGTTTCCGGTATATACTGCGGCAATTCCATTGGATGATAGTTAATTTTACTTTTTGGTTGAATGTTGTTTTATTGCATTTTTAAGGTTGCCAGCGTCGACATCGAATCCAAATTGAGCGCCAGCGGACATCGAAACAATAGCGTAAACATCACATTCTTTTCCACTTTGAGAAACCTCTAGCGTATTTTTTATGACTTCTGCGATAAATGCGAAAAAATGTATTGGGTCCAGAGATATAGGTGCATTCTTATCTTCATTTACCTCTTTCGAATTGGGGCGACTATATTGGCCTATAATAGGCGCTTGTTGAGATGACTTGTCTGATGACAATGACAATATATCTTTCGACTTTCTAATCATAAGGACAGGTGTACTTCCTTGAAAAGGAACTTTACTGGGAAGAGCCGGAAAATCATTTGCCGAAAATTGCGCAGTTTCTGAAATAGTTTGCTTAATGTGGTTCTTTGCCTCCTCATACGGTAGTTTAGTACTCGCCATTGTTTTTTGAATCAACCGTTCCCGTTTATATACTTCGCAGCCACCATATGCGGCGCTGTGTTCTTGTCCACAATTACAACATCTTGGAGTTTCGGAATCACATTTATTATATTCGTGGTTTCTACCGCACTTGGCACAGCGAACTTTACATCGACAATTTTTAGCTACATGGCCAAATCTATTGCAATTAAAACAACGAATCGGTGGAGGGTTATACACTCTGGTCCTGAATCGCATATAGCCGATAGTCACGATTGATGGTACAATGCATGTGTTAAAACAAATCAGAACTGATTTACTCTGCACAAACTTGCCTTCGATTTTTCTATTAAGCCTTTTTACAAAGACAACACGTTGTCCAGATAATGCGTCCAACAATTCATTATCGGCCATGTCAATTGGCACATCGCTAATTACTACTCTAGTATTTTGATCATTGTTTACAAACAATTCGGTCTTCACTGGAATGTTGGTTGTGCTATCGCCGATATCATCACATTCCAACAATAGTTTAACTTGTTTTTCGTTTGAACATTCAATTTTCAAATCCCCAGAACCAAGCACACGTACCGATTTTAGTGTTCCAAACTTCTGCACCAAATTTCTATGTATAACTATAGGATTGTACGTTCTCATCTTACGCTGGGTACCCCGTACAACAACGAATGTAGATATAACGTCATTTTCTTGACTTATTGTGTTAATTTTTACTTTACTTTGGGCATTAGAATTACTATCGTCCCCCTTCCTTTTCACTCCGGAAGAAGTTGGCGATTCATCGCCGTCCATCTTATAACATAAAACAGCTTTATCCGTAATAAACGTTCACTCTCCAAAAGAAAATTTGTACTGGATTTCAGTCAATTGCACTTTATATACAGCAATATATACAGATCGAATATAAAGAAACGATCTCACCGTATTAATGTAGTGTTGTATCCAGTTTAATCCACAAAACAGAAGATAGTTTGTATCCAGGTTTATGCTCACAAAGACGTCCGCACTGCGCGACGTCGCGTTGTCGATCTCTATTTAACAAATTATGACGTCATCATTAATACAACGTTGTTTCGGCAGAGTAGAAGACACTGACGGACGTCCTATGACCGGTTTGCAAAATGTTCGTATATTCGACCGGTGACCGCTGCAATAAGTTGACATGCTTGTGGTCAGATTATTGCTAGAAGAAAGGCATTGTTACCAGGAAAGTTGTCAGTTGCCCAACAAACTTCTTGACTCCACTGTCTCGATATTTTTATTAGCGGTTGATGGATACTTACCAATAATTCGAATGAATTCATCTGAGAATACCCATGGCCTTGTCGTCTACGTGCGCAAGGGGCGACTTATTTGCACAGCCTTTAATCGTTGGCCAATATCCAACCAAACGTCATCTAAGGGTTGCGCGAAGAATTATACTCAACCCTGAATGGGCGCGCAGGGAAAAGATTAAGTATCGTGTCCGCCGATATTTACCTTGGGGTTGCATGCTTCACTTGTACAAAGCCCTGATACGTCCAAGCATGTTATTCCTATCACTAATACGTTCATACATGTCCAGTATAGCGGTCATATTTGGATGATTCGTACAATGAGTGCTTTTCAAGTATTCATTCATGTGGAAGTCGTTGCGTAGCCGATTTCCCCATCACATTGGAGAGAACTGCTTTGACTCTCGAGCCAATTGTTATTACTAGCGCGCAATTGCCTCAGTCCTTCGCACTTTCGTGGTCGCCGGTAACTCCCCTCTTCTCTTATATTTACGAGTGAGTGTGTATGGCCTTGCTTTTAGCGAATTCCCTTTAAAAAAAAGAATGGTCTTAAACGGCCGACGCAATCAGTGAACGAATCGTATGGTACCATCGGCCCTTCGAGCGAGTGATAACCATTCATTATGTTAAGACGACAGTGGGGTAGAAAAAAAATCTACTTTCTATCATCCTTTTTTCCCAATACTTTTCGCTGTATAACTATTCAGCCCACGTTCACGATGGTCATTAACCCGAAAACTACAAAATATACAAATTGGCCACGTTCGCCATAAGAGCTGATGTTAAAACTGTTTTGTTTATATCACTTATATATTCCCTGTGCCGGATAGGTTTGAATAACCAAGGTCTATTTCACTTAAACCTTAATTTCAATATTTTCTATCATACTCTTCCCCTATCCTCTTGCTGCATAGCTATTCAGGCTCAAACTGTGATCCCACATTATCACCATATTTCAACATTCATAAATATGAGTTTATTTCGACTCCATGTTGATAGAATAATTGATAAAAACAAATACAACTGATTAACGAATCAGGAGAGCAAACAAAAACTTGGGTAAGGTTTAAAACCTACAGAATTTAAATTAAAATGAGTTGCTAGAAGCAGCATTTTTAGTTAGTCAACTGACCTTAAGATATAAAATAAATTCATAAACCACAAACATATAATAAAATAAGAAAAATTAATTAGTAAACAAAAAATACACTATAAATTTAAAATAAAAAATATAATTGCAAAACAATTAGTAAATATATTAAGTGGGGGTGCTCCCGAAGTATGTGTACCAAGATGGCGCACAACCTGAACTGTGACCTGGCCTGTGCCAAAATGGATTATATAATGATTCATAAGCCACAATGATATAAAAATAAAAAAAAATTGGGATTAATCGGTAAACTAATAAGAAACTAAAATTTAGAATGAAAAATATAATTGCATATACAAAATGAGATATAAAAAATTCATAAACCACATAGATATAATAAAGTAAGAAAAATTAGGATAAATTACTCAAAATATAAAATAAAACAATTAGCAAACAGAAGTGAACAGTAAAGAAAGAATAAACTCAAAGTATAATCTGAACCAGAAATGCTACAAGATGGGAGGATTGATTAGGTGGGTTAGACCTCCTTACATTTACATAAACAGAAAATTATATTAGCAGGATACGTCTGCAGATTTTCTGTCAAATCCTCATAAATCCGGTTTGTTTGCTAATATAAAATATATCAATTATCTTCATCATGTTAACATTCGGGACAACAATCGTATTTTAAATCCTCGATATCAATTATTTTAACTAAAAATGGAATTGACATACAAATAATTCTGAAAATATTAAATTCCATATTGAAACTGGAATTCAATTTGGCAAAAAAAAAGAATAGGAGACATCTTTGCTCATCAAATTAGAACCAGACCATTGAATTAAGGCAATTAGAGCTAAAACTTTCTCAGTTAGAGTCAGGATTACACCAAGTTTCAAATTAAGGCAGTATTGTACTGAGACAGGTGAATAGGACATAGGTAGGCTTACCATACGTCCCGCTTTTTAGCATCTTATCCCGCCGTCCCGACAAGTCAGCCAAATGTCCCTCTTTGGCGTTCAGCCATTCAGCTTAATACACGTACATGTTCTTGTTACTGTTGTTGCTGTGTAGCGCAACGCTCACCTACTTACTGAAGGTGAATGCGCTTGTTTCTTTGTTTCCTGGTAACATTGTTAGCTAACATATCGCATGTAAAACCAATACTAATTATTTGTAATTCGTTAACGTCAATTCCCTTCTATGTTTCGAACTGAACCCGATATTTGGACAGAAAATATGCGAATAAACTCTCGATGACAATATGGTCAATGAAGACAACCGGGATGGCTTTAAATGTAGGCCTGTGTAGTAAAATTTGAAACTGTAAAGTTACAGAATAACAGCTACGGGGTCGTTGTCTTTGGAGGCGTCCCGCTTTGGAGCCACAAAAATATGGTAACTCTAGACATAGAGAATTTCAACATAGTTTACTTTCCGAATATTTTACTTGTTGCAAAATTGAAAATATAACCAATCCGATAAAATTTCAAAAATGTAAGAATTGAAGTTTATAAAAACCAAATTGAATGAGTTTATAATCAAAAGGACAGGATTTACAGGGAAAGCCTATAAGACAGCATGAAAACCACAGCCTCTGGATAAATACATTTATTTACATATTTATTCTGGCAACCACAGCCTCCCATCCGGTTACCAGTCCATGTCAGGTATGGGAGGCTTGATTGTTTCGTGGTTTTGTTTCCTCACGAAGTTGGCGAACTGTTGGATTGAACTATATTGTCATCGCAGAGTTTTTATCCTGAGCTAGAATTTCTCCCACCACCTCAGTAAATAATAAAGGTAATTCTAGTTTCTTCTCTGTGAACGACCATGATTCCACCTAGCCATCCTCGCTTTGCAACCTGAAATGAAAATATTTCTTAATGAAATTTGATATAAAAGAAAGAGTTGCAAATGTACCAAAAGCAAGGTCCTGAACCCTCAACTAAAAGAGTACTGATATAAGAGTTGCAAGTTTGCTCAAAGCAAGGTCCCGATCCCTCAACTAAAAGTGGAAGGAGCACTGATATAAGAGTTGCGAGTTTGCTCAATGAAAGCCAAGCCCTTACTAACAGCAGAAGAGATGTAAGAGGTCACTGATAAGCATAGAACTATGTGTAGGTTTTTAATTAAAACATTGTTCCATTCACATCTTTAGGCCCGTCAAAATATGAATAACTAATCGAATATTGAAAGATTCGATTGACATTATACTATCCAAAAACTGATTCCAAATGACCAGGGCCACTTTGCCTGGACATAAAACCCAAACATCATATATAATGATGTCATAATTTTTCAAATTATAAACCCCCCTCATCATGTTCCATCGAATTTTTTATCTGTATCAAAGAAAAGACTCGATCAAAATTATCTTCGAGAGACAAGTTCAAGTCGGTGTATTTTATCATAAAATGACGTCATAATTTTGAATCGGGAATTTGAGTACCTAACATAAGTAAGTTGATTGCTTTTTCCCAGATTTTAGTGAAAGATGCGCAACGATTCAAGATGGGAAAATCTGTCACAGAACGGAGTTTAAAGAGAGATAAATTATTGATAACCAAAGTTTAGTATTTTCATGTCATTGCCTCTAACTTTGCTCAGATATGAGTCTCCTTTATTTCCGAGTGAGTGCCCATACCTCTGCTCAGATATGAGTCTCCTTTATTTCTGTGTGAGTGCCCGTAACTTTGCTCAGAGATGAGTCTTCTTTACCTCTGAGTGAGTGCCCGTAACTTTGCTCAGAGATGAGTCTTCTTTACCTCTGAGTGAGTGCCCGTAACTTTTCTCAGAGATGAGTCTTCTTTACCTCTGAGTGAGTGCCCGTAACTTTGCTCAGAGATGAGTCTTCTTTACCTCTGAGTGAGTGCCCGTAACTTTGCTCAGAGATGAGTCTTCTTTACCTCTGAGTGAGTGCCCGTAACTTTTCTCAGAGATGAGTCTTCTTTACCTCTGAGTGAGTGCCCGTAACTTTGCTCAGAGATGAGTCTTCTTTACTTCTGAATGATTGCCCATAACTTTGCTCAGAGATGATTCTCCATTACTTAGGATTTTACATATTTATCCCGGGGGAGAGGAAAGTCGATAAGACGGCTTATCCATATGGCGAACCATGGCCTCTCGTCCGGTTACCATTCCAAGTCGGGTATGGGATTAGTTATATTGTTTGTTTTCGAAAGCATGGACTTAGTGGTGGAGGAAGCCGTAACCGACCAGCGGTTACGTGAACCACCCAACGACGGCGAGGAGTCCAGCAATCCTCTCGCATATAACCATCCCTGCATGGGATTCGAACCTGCGAACCCACGCAGAGTAATTAGAGGTTCGGTGGTGAGCGTATTCCTAACGCTTAGCCCGTTGAGCCACACCGCCGCGCCAGTCAATGAGTGCCCGTAACCTTGCTCAGAGATGAGTCTCC